GAGGGCTCCCGAGTTGAAGTGCCCGCCTCGCACTTTCAAGACCCGAGCTGGCGAGGAGCATACAGCCCGCAGCGTCCGATTTCGAGTGCGCCTGGACCTCCACTCGGTCGCTCTCGCTCCGCCGCCTCCTGTGCCCAGAGCGTTTTCGAAACGTCACCATCCAGCTCCGATTCTCAACACGCAGATCCTCGCCTCCCCAGTCCACTCAGGGCGCTCAGCGGAAGACGACTTGGAAGAGATGATATCGCCAAAGTCGCATCCGTGGGCTGGCACCTCCAAGGATGATGTGTTTGGGCGCGCCAGAGCTGGTAGCTCTGCCTCTTCACCAGATCGAGGTTTACACCGCGTCGTCAGTCCAGAAAGTGTGCGATCCCGCAGCAGCCTGGCTCGCAGCGTGAGCTCTGGCCAGTCACCTTCATCACCGAGGGCCGATCGAAGCATCTTTGGTCGCAAGCCCACAAAGTCAGGCCGGCATGGCGGCCGCGAGGCATCTGCAGCATCTCAAAACAGCCGCATGGATAGTCTGGGCAGATTCATGTCGCAAGAGGGCGCTCACAGCACCGCTACTTTCGAAAGCGCCCACGATGGCGAAATCACAGCCCTCTCGACCAGCTCAGGCTACGACATCGAGCGGTCCAAAAGCCCGAACGGGTCGATGGCTGGCAGCACACGCTCCACCAGCGCACGCAAACCCTCGATGATCTCCCGCATGTTTGATTTTGGCAAGGGTGCGAAGAAGTCGAGCGGTAGCGAAGCAGCGTCGACTCATCAAGGGGCTGATGCAAGCTTTGGTACGACCGGATTAGTACCCGGAGACGAAGGTGGGCCGCCTACTGGCGTTCCACAGGTATCAGCCAAGACGAGAGCCGAAAGCTCAGCTTCTTTGACAGTTCCCTCCGCTTCTCTCGGACGAGGAAGCCGTCGTCGAACAGCTACGTTGGCGAGTAACGAAAGCGAGGAAGAAGCAGTCGACACTGCGGACGATGACCTTGTTTCCATGGGGAGTAGCGCCGCTGCTCGATGGCAGCGTAGGCGCCCCTCCGCAGGCTCTGTACTCAGCAACAACCCCTCGGGCGCGAGCGGTTTGGCCATGGCTCCCGACCTGCAACCGCTCGCGGAAGGAACGGCATGGAGCCAGACGCGTGCTTCTTCGAGTGGCCATATTGAAGAGGAGTCCAGCACGCGCAAATGGAAAGCTGGGGAGGACTTTTTGAGCTTGCTGCGAGATGCGTGCGAACAGGTGCTTAACGTGAAGCCCTGTGCTGGATCACCTTCTGTCCCGAAAGCCGCGGGGAAGGGCAAGCGCAAGGAAGGCGATTCCAGCTCTAGCAGTCCAACACCTTTCTCATCTGGTGCTCAGACTCCTGTAGGCCCACCACCAAAGCCACTTGACACAGACTCATGGTGGCTATGTGGTCATACAGACCCCCTCAGCATCACACTGCCCTGCGCTTTTGCGGATGCGCTCGGCTGGGAGGGCATCATGCAACTATGCTACGGCGAAGGCTCGCAAGCAGCTCGTGACCAAGACTTCAGACCGCTCGGATTAGCGGCCCAGATGGACACAGCACAACAAAACGAAAAGTCCAAGGTGCAGAACTGGGCAAGAGATGTTGCGAGCACAGGTGCGAGTCCAACAGAGCAAGAGCAGCAAGGCATTGATAGTCTTGTCGAATCGGCTTTGAAGCGCTCCGAGGTTGTCGCCACGACGACCGCTGGAGCGACTGCTACAGAAGCTGAGCTTGCAGCGTCCGACGCTCGGTCTGATGCAGCAGATGATGCGTCCGACATTGCCCCGTCTGAAAGCGCATCCGCCAAAGCGGTGCGTACTGGACGTGGGGAGGAGAAGGGCAAAGGCGATACGCTTTTGGAGCGACTTCGAAAACGGCTTCCGACGCGCAGCGCTTCGACACCAGGAGGACCCGTTCAAGGAAGCAAAGATCTGATCGGACCTGCACACGACCTGCGGCGCCTGCAGCTCGATGGATATGGGCGTGGTCGCACTTGGGAGGACTGGCTTGGCCTCGCTCGAAGCATTGCTGCCTGGGTGGAAGACTACGAGACTGATCGAGTCCACTCTGGCTTGGCTCGGGAGCCAGTCGCTTTGCAAAGGTCGGCCGGCACCGCACCCGTCTTCCAGGCGACAGCCGATTCTGGCTTCCACGAGCCAGCGTCGAACGGTCATTCAGCTTTCGGTCAGGGTCCGGCTGAAAGCATGTTCTTGCCGGAATGCATCAGTCAGGACGCGCTTGACCCCAAGTTTACTTTCAGACGCAGAGCTGGTGTGCCTCCGGCTTTGACAAACGCGGAGAGCGGTGAAGAGCACATGCATTACCGATGGGCCAGCAGTCGCCTCAAGTCAAAGCATTTCGCTTCAGCAATCAGTGAGTTCGATACCACAAGCTCGGTCTCTTGACAATTGAGGTTGCTAACGCTCACTATTGCGACGGTCCGCCTGCAGCGCTCGGCACCGCTTCGCTGGTGCACATGCTCTCTCAGGTCAACGCTGCGGATTGGACGCACAGGTCCGCGTGGGAGCTAGACTATCTAGAAGCCTGTGTCTTTCATGCACCTCTGGTAGCCGAACGCTTTGGACCGCCGGGCACATCGGTCATACCCGCCCAACTATCCTTTGCTCCGACGAGCGACGAGGAGCGAGAGCGGGCAAAGAGCTGCCCTTACCCTTCGGAAAGTGGAGCTTGGGATCCGAACCAGTGGCGCGCTTGGCTTTCTGGATTACAACCTGGCAACATCATAGTCCCTGCTGTGTCGTGGCAAGCTTGGTGGACCCTCATCAGCGTATTGAACGGCGCGGACAGGTCAGGCAGACCGTTCGATCTGCAGGTCAAGGCAGTGGACGAACCCTTTTCTGCTGTCTTGCCAGAAGTGGACTCGGTCTTCATTTGAGACCCGCAAAGCTGTTTTTCGCATATTGAACTCTCTTGGCACACATACCACTTTTTCATAGAAGCTTTGCACTTAGGCCGCGGAGGCTCCTGTGTGATGTGTGCGTACCGTGACTTAGCGCCAGCTTCCCTCTGAATTTGGGCGCCGCGCCCTCTTGCCTTTCACTCAAGGCTGGCTGGCTGTCAGGCTTCTCTTCGCCTGCTCGCGATAATGAGTGTGCATGAGACCGAGGGGGTGCACCTGGCCTCCTGTGCTCTCCTATGTGCAGTGCAGATACGGCGGATGTGTGCATCTAGTGCTTGTTGTACGGTAGGCACCGATGTTATGCAGTTCAGTGCATCGATGTGAATCCTGGGACTCTTGACTTGCATCCGAATGGGCATTTTGTTCGCTCCTGTCTCTTGCTATACAGAGCTTCCTCTTGGATTCACGATTCGAATTGGACTCTTGACTGCCAGGCAACAGGGGCTGATATTAGCACGAATTATCACTATCATCTGTGAATCTTGCGTATATAGCATGATTTGACTCGAGACTTTATCGCGCGTATCATACGCATGGACGGTGGCCTATTCGGCGTTGATTTGAACGCTGGGATCTCGAATCCGTAACCTTTCGTGCCACCAACCCCTCAAAGATCCACCATTGATGGTATCATGTGCCTACTGATGTACCGCAATCTTCATTCATATTCAAATTTGCCTTCGTACACACGTCTCCTGTCATCTGCGCGCGGTTCAAGGTTTTATGGATCTTCGTGGCAGCCACTGCTGCATATAGGTGCCGGAGCGTGAATTAAAAACCTGCTGTGAATGTAATATTGCATTCACGTGAATGCAAATTCGTCATTTACCGTATTTGCCCGCACACTGGAGACGATTATATATACTTCGTGATTTGTATGCGCGAGCTGACTTTGAACTCA